GGGATTGACCGTCACATTATAACGCCCCCACGGCTGAAAGGGCGAGCATGTTAGGTGTGACTGGGATTCGAACCCGCGACCCTCTGATTGCGAGTCGAGCGCCCTAACCAACTGGCCATGCCGGGCGGCAAGTCAAGAAACAACCAAAAAAAACCAACTTCGAAGAGCGATCTACTCCAAGTTTTGAAGCAAGAGTGGACGAAAATCCCACAATTTAAAATTGAGAGATGATTCTCACGATGCCCCAAAGGATCAACGAACTCCACGAAGCGAAAGGAAGATCTACTATATATTAATTAAATTATAAATATATCAATTCATGTGAATATGACTGAAAAATGTCATTTTTTTCTGAAAAGGTGGTATCTATTTACTTGTGACCAGCTGTGTATATAAATATCACCAATCGGTGCAGGAATATTATTTTCTTTAGATTAAACTTTGGAGAGTAAATGTTTGTTTGTTTTAAATCATAGGCTAATAAATTATGTAAACAACGTGAATCATTACTATGCTACATAATTTACTGAACCAGTTCGAAAAATAATTCTAAAGCTTGAGAGCTTTCTAAAAGTCGCCTCGATTGAGCTTTTGTTTCGGTTTTAGGTAGTGATTGGTGGTGTTATCTTACTTCAAAGTGGCTGATGATTAGTTCGTAAATAACCCGCACTAGGGAATCTAAGGGTTGTGCAACTATCGCTAACCAAATAGACTAAGTTCACTGATAAGGATAGTAGGCCATAAGGAAAAGCCTTCCTGTTGGATTTTGATATCTTGCTAATTTATTATGTGAATTGGTAAGATTCCCTTACGTTCTGCAGTGAAAATACCCTGGTATTGGGCGAAAGGCCTCGTCGGCATTGGATATGGGGGATATAGTGTAGTTGATATATTATAACATATTTTATTTTGCTTTTACTCACGGATTCTTAGAAATAGGGATTTTAACTTAATTCTTTAAAAAGAGGGATTCACTGTGTATTATTGAAGCTAAAGAGATAAATAGGTTTAGTTGGCTGAATCATATATTTCATTCTCTTTTGATCCCAGAATCGACAGATGGTTAATACCATCATCCCAGACATCACCACAGACATTCTTAAAGTATCAACTTCCCCGAAAACTAAGATGGCGTTATATACGGAACAATTATGTTAGCGTACTTTTCTTGATGGGCTTCCTAACAATCAATATCGCCCTGTTCATTTCTCGATATGTTGCTGTAAGTAACATGAAAGACGAAAGTGGTGTTTTACTACAGCGAATGTTGCAGGAAAATTCTTTCTCAGCAGAAAATAGCACTAAAGAGACACCTTCCGGAATGCTTGGCCAACATGTCAATCAAACAGCACAGATTCGCTCGATTGGTTCCTGTATTGATGACGTAGACGAGCAGAATTTGCCGTTTAAACACATTTATGAAGTTTTGGCTCGTGCTTGTGGTAAGTACAGTATATGTACAGTCTTAAACATAGTCATGACTTTTATTTGTAGAGATATATTGACGAAATATATAAAATCCAATAACAGTTTTATAAACAGCTGAAGTTAACAAAGATAAAACTCTTCAAAGTCACTTATTTTCTGTTTATCGTTTTAAATTGTGTTGTATGTATAAACGTTAACTTCATACAATACAAATAATTTCCGAAGTCGGTTAGCTTCATTAAATGTCTTAAATGAGGAAATAACTAATAACCATGTTTAAGAAATAGCGTCTTAGTTTTCTTTTCTTCATAGAAAAACAAACTAACTAATTTTTGCCTCTATTTCAGGTCACTGTCTTAATTTCACGTGCATGTTTGTGTTGTTACCTGTTTTGCGCCTTTCCTTGACATGGCTTCGAACCCATGGTTTCTCTCAATACCTGCCTGTGGATCACGGTGTTTATTTTCATAAATTGACGGCCTGGTTTATCATATTTTACAGCATTTTTCACACAATCATGCACATCTGTAACTTCGGTAGGTATTTGTGAAACAGTTCTTGTTACGAGATATATAATTTAGTGTCGCCATCTATTGAAACGTTGAAGTATTAATCAAAATTTACCCGTCGGGTATTTCTAATGCACAGCTTTTTTTTTGCTTAGCTTAGATTATTGTTATCTTTCGCTGCCACCTTATATTCAAAGTTATCCATGTTTATATGTGGCAGTCTGTAAAACGAAAAATAGAAAGATATATTTTTCAGAATTTAGGCACTTTCATAAATCTTATCAGGTGTATTATTAAATTATTTTCTTCCTTTTTATGAAGAAACGATTTATTTTGTTTCTTCCATTTTATTATTTAAATTGTTTTGCTTATAAAACTGTTCACCATAACAAAATTTACGTTCTCAAAGTACTAAGCGCGTTTTGCAGCAACGGAACTCGAACCATGAGCTCTCATATTCACGGTCCGGTCACGCTACCATTAGACGAAGCCCCTCAAAAAACCTTATATCTAATTATTATATTTCTTTAGCTCGTGTCTCTGAAGGCGACTCTTCGCTGACAGTTTGGCTGCTATTTACAACAGAAGTGGGGATTGGCTGGGTGGGTGGAGCAGCTTGTCTAACTGGTTGGATCCTCTTGGTCATCCTGTTTGTCATGTTTGTTTGTGCTCAGAAATGCGTACGTCAGCGTGGCATGTTCGAGGTAGATATGTATGATTATTTTAAAAAATGCAATATACAAATCTTTATTGAGTTGAACACGTATTTCATATTAATGTCACTACCCAAAACAAGTACGTTTTCTCTTTTTATTTATGTTACTTTACTGAATAAAACAAAAACTGCCAGATGATGTTTTTCCAATGTTGTATATGAAAAGGTTCTGTTCTACTGTTCAATAGGCAGCTTTTACTTAATCTTTTTTTTTCTTTTTTAGGACTGATAGATAACTAAAAGTTTCGTAGAATAGGCTTAATGACTGATTGTATATAACTAAAACAGTTCAGTGTGTGTGTGTTTATATATATTTCACGATATATAATAATCCCTCGATTCAGTGGCACAGCGGTATGACTGCGGACTTACAACGTTAAAATCCTGGTTTCGATACCCGTGGTGAGCAGAGCACAAACAGCTTTGTGCTTAATTACAAACAATACGATTCTGTATAATAATGGACAAAGTTTTCAGGAGAAAATATATTTGAATAAATTATTAAAATATGTATTAGAAAATAAAACTATTTAAATGTAAATTGGGTGCACCTAAGTAAGCCCTAATAAGCCAGAGTATCGTATTCAAACATCAAAGCAATGGCCTGGGTTTTGCGATGGCTTACCCCCACTTGGAATAAATTCTTCGGACGCCCATCCTCACGATCCTTAACTAGGGCTGCACGCAAATATTCCACGCAACAGCTATTTCAGGTAGTTTATAAATCTCTATCTGAATGGTTAACCTCTATAGGTGATCTCTTAGTCTTATAAACAGCTCTGAAGTTTTTATAGATATCAACTAAGTATCGTGTTCCGACCTTTCTACACAGTTTAAAGGCATAATAAAAATGTTTACGAGAAACTTCTTTTCAAGTAACATCGGGACTTAGCTTTAAGAAACCACATTCGTACGTAAATTACTTTTTAACTTGATGTTTGTATTAATCATATAGCGACCTCTATTGGTCAAACATCTAACCTTTGCCGTTTAAACGCCGATAGCCGGCGAAATATTGGAAAACCAATGGGACTAAAAATAGTTATAGTGATTTAGAAACTTTCGTGGAATTTTTATTCTTTTATCATCCAACCCAGCTGATGAGTTTGGTATTGAACGAAAATCTTAGCTTGTGGGAAATAAAAGATGGGTCTCAAATGTTATTTTTTACGCATCTCTGATTTCGAACTGCATGGACAAATGTGGACAGATTTGTAACCTATAATCACATCAATTAATAAGTATTTACACGAATACAAAATATTAGAAAATACATTTCATGATATTAAGACATGTCTCTGCATAAGCAGTGGAAATATTTTATCTAATAATGCAAACATCACAGTTTTGTTGTATTAGTGAATTAACGACAACCAGAATATTAAACTTTAAGATTTTGTATTTCAAATACATTTAAAATGACGAATTTTTAATTTCAAGAGCGATATTTTCAAACGAACGGACTTTTTATTTTTGTAACAGACTAAACTCCATCTTCAGAAATAATTGTTTCGGTTATTGTAGATGTTTCTTTTGTCCAATATGACAATATTTCAAAATTGTAGTCATTTCAATAAACACAACGGATTCTTCGAAGTAGTCCCATTAGTGAAACGTATATATATAAACGTTAATCTTAATTCATTCTAAGATTGAAAAGTAGTTCATATATAACATGGTGGGCCTTGTATTTGATTTGTTTGTTTTTAATTGAGCACAAAGCTGCACAATGGACTATCTGTGCTCTGCTCCCACGGGTATCGAAACCCGGTTTCTAGCGTTGCAAGTTCGCAGACGTATGTATTTTGATGACTTTCTATTATATGCAATTAAGTACGTTTTAATTGAATCCGTGTAAATGTGTATTATTTGTAGGTATTTCACTACAGTCACAAATTATACATTGTCTTCTGGTTGGTGCTCATTCTTCACGGTCCGAATTTCTTAAAGTGGTTCATAGGTCCTGCATTGATCTTCGTCGTGGAAATGACTTGTAAAATGCGAATGGTCTACACTAAACAAGGCCAAACGTGCGTGCTCAGCGGCACGCTCTTACCCTCTAAGGTAAAGACATTTTTAACTTTAAACAAGTGCTTGCTATCGTCCTTTGGTTATTACTAAATTATTTGTTGATGTGGTAGTTTGATATGTATACACATATTTGCGAAAATAATTCAGAGCAGTTTCTTCGAAAATTTGCTTGGAATTGAAGGAAGTTTACGAGTTAATAAATAGTCATAAACATAATATTCCGGCTCGTCCATTTCTTTAAAGTCTCGCTTACAATGTTTCGTTATTTGTTAAAACTCAGAATTATAGAGGTTTTTAGTTTACTATCTAACCTTAATATAGGTAATCATAACTGTGTTCAAAGGTACAAAAAAAAAGTCTTTTCGAGTATTTATGTTAATAGAAGTGACGAAAAATTATCCCTACAATTTTATCAATATATCAATTTAATTTTTAGATTATTGACTGTCTGCAATCTTTAATTGTATCAAATAAGAATTTCATTTCTTTTTTTTTGGTCACGTTAGATTTTAAATTAAATTAAATATAAACTTATAGTAAACTTCTTTTTTCAAGGTTATTCAGCTTGTTGTTAAACGACCTCGTCATTTTGAATTCTGTCCTGGCGACTACGTTTTCATCCGAATTCCAGTCATTGCCCAGTTTGAATGGCATCCATTCACAATTAGTAGCGCTCCAGAACTAGAAGGTACCTAAATAAACTTCGATTTTATTTAATATTAAAATTATCCCGAGGTGATCTATTGTTTTTTAAACTACAAGCCTTTAATCAAGATTAAAGTTCTAAAAACAATTGTGAAAATTTCTAATGAATAAATAATCATACATTTTTCTAACGTCTATTATTTGAGTTATATATACACCTGGAAAATTCATTCTCTAAATAAGCCTTTACTGCCCTAGAGCGATGAGGTATAGCGTTGTCATCCATGAATAAAGGTCTTGACGCTAACGTGTGGTTGTCAAAACGAGGCACAACTACAGGTGTAAGCACGTCCCTGGTGTACTTTTCGCTAGTAAGGTTGCCATTGATTGTTACCAAATCCAGCTTGCAATCATGCGAGACACAGCCCCCACCAAAAGGCACTGTTGGAACAATGTTTCTTGGAATGTAAGCTGCGTTACGATGCCTCCAAACACGGGTTCGACCATTAGTTACGTGGAGTAAAAATCTACTCTCGTCTGACCAGTGTATTTGTCGCCAGGTTTGAAGGTTCCAGTTCTGCCTTGCTCTGCACCAGGCCAACCTCTCCCTGCGATGGCGATCGTCAAGTGTCGGGCGTTTTATGACTCTCCTTGACTTCAGTCCCGCAGATTTTAAACGATCGTAATCTGTCAACCAGAACAGTAAGAAAACCCGTCTTAAAAGGCAGTGGTTACCTGGGCTTGTTGCAAACAGATTTCGTCTGACAAATCTACAATATCTTTCTTTGGTTTGGATCACTTTCCTACCACATTCTCTCCCATTCGGGTGTGCCCCTCTCATTTTCTGCTCTTATATCTTACACATTTCACACATGGGTGTACAGTATATCTGGTTTAGAAGTGGTGCAGTTCCTCTCTTTGGATCTTAATCTATCATTTTCAGGGGTATCCTTCGGATGCTTTCAGGGTGTACTTCTGTCTTTCCATAGCACTGGCCCCACCTTCTCAATGTGAGATTCTAGTTAATTTTTTGAGAGGAGGCGAGTACTGTATTGAAAGTTATAATTTTCCTATATTGAAAATGTACTTCTGATAGGTACTTACTTCCTCTCACCCTTCCTCCCCACTTTTCTCCGGTGCTAACATTATCGAAGTTTAAAGTGATAGTTCGATAGAGGAGTGTAGAGGGAGTCAGATGCGTCATGTGAGCATATCATACTCCTCCTATTGGTTAGGAGGTGATGCATGAGAGATATATTGGAACATAACAATTCCAATAGGGGGGAGCGGAAGGCTTGTGGCATGTATAAAGAAAAAGTGTGCATATAAACGGCACCACTGAACAAGAATAACTAATCTTGTGAGTACCTATCAGAAATACATTTTCAATATAGGAAAATTATAATTTTTGCGATTACAGTTATAGTGTGACTGTTTATGGTATTTAACATTTTCTACATAGTCTACATTCTTCTGATAAAGCATTAGCATTTTTTGGCTTGAAATAGTTGCATGCAGTGGCTTCTGTTGACACTTTGTTATTGGAATCCTGAAGCCATATTGTTACTATCAGGTTTGTGGGCCGGATTATATACAGTAAATGTTTCTGACTAGTTGGTGGTAAATATGAACAAACAACAACCCAGTCCACTTCTTCTAAAATAATATATTAAAACAAGTGAAATGTGTAGACAAATGCTCATTACACTGTTGGTTATCACAGTTGTATCTAGAGCTTTAAATAATTCTTTTTTTTTGTCAAAGCTTTCTTCAGTGTACCAAATATCTTTATTTTACTGAAACTCTTTGCCACACTGCCACTAAGGTCATGTTGATGTGAACTTTCAGCATCTGGTCTTTGCTGTTTGAATAATTACCTAAGGTGTACACAGGCTGAAGAAAGACTGAGTGCTCTAGCTTGAATACATGATAATTATGACACTGCTATCAACATTGAAACTGTATGTGAGTTATTTATGGAAAAGCATCCCAGAAGAATGGAGCATACTAACATTTATTTCAGTAGTGTATACTTGTATGTATATAATAGCCAATGATTGAAATAGCTAATATACTATTGTTGTACAGAGCTTTAGTTTTGCCCAGCCAATACTGCAAAATAGTCATTGTTAACAATCAGACATTTTAAAGGTGGTTTTAAATGGGTGATTTTTATTACTACCATTTTGCTTCATCACGATCCCTACTTTTAAGTACTACCATACTTAATGATAAATAATACATTTGCATCTATCTCTTTGTCTAGACTTTTTCTTGTAAATTTCTTGATCAAACGCTACAGGTTTCATATCATTAGTAGGGACTTCGTCCAAGGAGTCGTCTGGATTGCATATTGGCCTGACAAAGTTATCTTGAGTAATTTATGTTGAATTTCATACTTTTTTTTGGGGGGGGGGTGAATAAATTAGAGAAGAGGGGGATGCCTAGAGAGAAATTCTCTTAATTCTTACAGTAGTTGAAATTCAGGATTGTTGTTAAATATTGCCTTATAAGTTATGAATTTAACAACTTGAAACTTGTATACTATTAAAATGTGAATTATTAGCTACATTTGTACTATACGTATTTATGTACCATGATATTAAAGTAGTTTAATTAAATTTTGGATGTAGCTCACTAAAACCTTGTGGCATGTACAGAAAAAGATAACCATAGTGAGAAAGTTAAATAAAGTTATATCTACATGAGTTTTTTGTCTGACTGCATAAATTATTTTCAAATAGAACAGCAGTTATTGATCTAACACATAGTGCCTACAAGAAAGCATAGCTTAAATGCTGTGTGTAAAAAAATGATAGAATAAGGAAACTTCAAGCTAGGGCATGAAAAATACTGCAAATGTTTTGCAGGTCAAGGCTAGTAGATATTAATACCGGTACTGTTGTGCTTTTTCTGTCTATGCTCCTAAGCTTTGGAACACTCTTCCTATAGAGTTGCAACATGCAAAGTCTATCAGGTCGTATCTCTTCCACCTGGCTTTCAACTAATGTAGAGACTGGTCAATGACAGGTGCTTTGAATGGCTAGCAATGGTTAGAGGTGTGCTGTATAAGAAATTAAGTTATTATTATTATTATACCATACCAATACAGCAATACCATACCAAAATGGAACTACTAAGCCACGCCACGTACCATATACACATCTCTTGTTATATTTTACTATTTGTTTTTTCAGAATCTTCTCCACTGAATCAAGGGCTGAACCTGTAAGTAGTGATGCAGGTGATTCCAAGGTAGAACAAAGCACACTCAAGTCAAGTGATAAAGAACAAGAAAATGAGATAAACTTCCACAGCATTTCCAATATTATTAGTAGAGAGACAGAGTCTAGTGAGGTTTGCTTTCTTCTCGAGCATCTTCTATGTGCAGCACATACACTCAATTTAGTAGTAACCAGTGATGTAGAAAAACTTTGAGCAATGGTATTTTCAAGAAAGTGTACCAATTGGCATTTGCAAAGGAATGGATGCTTTGGAACAAACAGATGCACAGCAACTGACCTTATACAACAAGGACTGGGCAAACATTTGTTGTTTGATGCACTACACTGTAAAATTTGATGTATAACGCGTTCATTTGAATGGAGAACATAATTATGAACTGGAATTGCTCATTTCAACCTTTCTGATATATACTTGATAAGAGAACATGTAATTGTCATGTGACCTGTAGCACACAGGCTGGATTTACTTCAAAGTGAAAGTAAGGCCTATATGGGACTACTTTTTCCAACACTTACCACATGTTTGACAAAAGTGAAAGATCTTTGTGGTAAAGCACTCCATACTTGCAAGGCACTTGTTAATGCTTTGATTTGATGAATTGCGTATTTAATTTCAGTAGCACAAGCTTCATAAAATTATTATCCATCATTCCAGCTCTTTTTGGCTTCAAATGTCTTTCCCTTTGAGCAAAATGCACTCTACAGCTGCACTCAATGGAATGGGCATATTGATGTAAATGAAGAAAAATTTAAAAGCTGGTGAAAGGATCAAGCTTGATTCTATATTTTTTGTAGTAGATTGTTCTTTGCTTAGGAACAGTGTTATTTGGTCACTGCTACTTTAGGATGAATTATTTGCAGATTTTGCTTGTTGTTTAAAGAACATAAAGAAGTCTACTATCTCATTTTTCCTGGTGCTAGAAAATTACGAAAACTCACTTAAATCAGCATTTGCTGAACTTTCACCACCACTGCCTTCCATCTTCTCTGAGAGTTTTTTAATCATCATTTGTTTTACAGTTTCTTTCCTAGCACTTAAACTAATCCAAATCAGTTTAAACCATGGGTTACAAGGAGCTGTGAGAATATGTTCCTCATTGAAAAAGTCAGCTTCATAGTACTATTTTAATATTTGCTTTTAAATTAAGAAATTGAGTAATATATAGTACTAAAATTTGAATTATAATGTACAGTTTGATACCAAAGTGTTTGATATAAATTCCTGAAATAGTAGTTCAATAAAATTTTGAATGCAAGTCAACAAACACAATGACATGGCCTTTGACCCATGTGGAAAGGGTTAAAGTAAAAAAAAAGAAATACTGCCATGACTGTGCATGCTATCTTTTCAATGGAGCACCCCTACAGCTACAGCAAGAAAAATATAGCTGTGCAATCATTACCACTACTTTTGAAACTGATATTTTTCACGATAATTGTTTTTTCAGTAGATGATGTAAGAATGAAAAACTCAACTTTATTGGTAAATAGTAATGCTTTATTGCCACAATAAAATAATAGACTTTTCAGAACAGCCTATCCATATTTGTGAATGATGAGAGGAAAGCAGCTAACAGCCTTCAATACAATGAATTATAGTACTTAAAGAACACAATGTCAAAAAATAAATATGTTGACAGTAATAATAATATATAAGCCAACATGTAATACAAGATAACAAGTCTCTAATATTAGAAGATATTACATTTCTTATTATGTGTTCAATTTTGTTATTGTTTTAATTTACACAGATAAACATCATTTTTGTGTGTCACGTGGTATGTTGAATGCAGCACTGGTTCAAATTAGATGTCTCTTACGAATTAGAAACTCAAATTACAGATATTGACAAGCTAGAATGTAAAATAAGAACCTCATAGCTTTTATATTTGCTAAGATATTGCTCATGTAATAGATCAAACACAGTGGCATCCCACCCATCTCTTTCCATTTTTG